TTCCTGCAGTGTTCCTGCAGTCGCCTTTGAATCATTTTTAGATTTTTTTTAAACCGCCGCTTTATGTCCTGCTGTATCAATACAATATTAGACTTTGAAACTGCCTCATATCTGAAGTGGCATCTGCAAGCTTTTGCAAAAAATTACTCACAGCCAGCGCATCCAAATCACCAGGGTTGGTTATATTAAGTCAATTACATTTTTACAATTGTGAGCGAGGGATGGTTAATTTAGTTTGACCCAAGAGCCTCCTGACACTCCCCCAGATAGCAGATGGATGAGACGAGTGACCACAGGCGTAAGGGAGTGTGTGTCTGAGTGTGTGTGAGCCCACTGGATTAGTCTTCATTTGGTGCCTCTGTCATAAGGGAGGGAAAGACTGAACACTGTGTGGCGGAGCAAAGAAAACACACTGGGTCAGTGGAACACACACAAACACAAGCACACGCTATTAACCTCCCCCCCAGCTCATCAACTTTATTTTGCAATCTTCCCTCAGAACCATTAGAATACCCTGAAGAAATGACTTTCCAATTAAAGGGGATCTAGAAGAAGGAGTTTTTTTTCTTTTTCTTTTTTTCTTTTTTTTTTTTATCCCCAGCTCCTGGAGTTCTTTATTCCAATAATTTAAATTGGAATTGATTTTTCAATTTACCCACTGACTGTTATGGACACAGAGCGCAGGGCCAAATAGAGCTACGTTCCTAGAATATTTGTCATGACGGAGCACAACATGTAAATCTGCACAGGCCGCCTAAATAGAATCATATATTTCCTCTCGTGAGAACAATCAGACTGGAAAATAAATTCGGGCCTTTGTGTGATTATAGCATGAGGTATTTATGTGGTGTTTTATGGAAAGGTTGCTCCTCTAGCTGGTCTTTTTTTTTTTTTTTCCAGATCAACACATCCAATCACAGAATCAGGTGTGTATTCTTTGCAGTATGTTTAACAGGCACATTAATAGTAAACTTAATGTTTATGGGATGCTCTGCATTAAAAACCAGCCCGTGCTTTACAGTCACACAGCATTTCCCAGCAGCTTCTAGCACAGTAGTCTGTCCCAGACAGCCAGCCCGAGCCTCACGTGTTTAAGTTTGACAAACTATGCCGATGAACTCTGCAACAACAGCAGTTCCAGCTGCGTTCTAATGAGCATTTATTGTGTCTCTACTACAGCGAGCGCTCTGCAGAGGCTGCTTCAAAGCCAACCAGATTCTACTTGAGCTGTTTTACAGATGCGTCTAGAAATCCGAGGCCGTTCTTCTGTGGACGAATGGTTCTGTCTTTTGCTCCTGACAGCTGCGCGGGCTTGTTGTTCGCTCTCTCCTGAGTTGTTTTAATAAAGTTGTGCTGCAGGACTAGTGAGAGAAGATTAATGGACGCACAGGAAGTGTGGCAGTTGTGAGAGGATGCAGGACAGAGCGGGCCAGCAGCCATCTGTTCCCTCTCCTTTACAGCTCTCTTAATGGAGAAGCAAACCAAACAACATGGATCTGAGCCCTGCAGACAGACACACACATGCACATGCACACAGACGCGCACGTGCACACACCTCCAATGCGCACAGCTAAACACAAAACATCACTTTATATGACAGAGATGAGAGCTGGGCTTTTGTCATTGTATTCCCCCTTGTTGGATGTGTGTGTGTGTGTGTACACGTGCTGGTGTGTGTGTGTGTGTGTGTGTGTGTGTGTGTGTGCTTTTTTTTTTCTTTTCTTTTTTTTTTCTTCTTCTACCTTTCAGCGAAATAAAGTTGGGTGTGAGCCACGGCTGTGAGATTTAGATGAAAGACACAGCCTGGATGGAACGTGATTAAGAGATATGTTCTTGAGGCAAAACAGGACTTGGCATTTGCTGAGACAAAACCTAATCAAATTAAAGCAAAACACGGCCATTGTTGTGGAGTGTGTTCTCTGCTTGTGTCACGTTTGAAATGAAACAGTGTAAAATAGATACGGGCTCGTGTCTGCGCAGCGACGAGCGAACACAGTGGTTTTATTCAGATTTACACACAGGCACTGACTAATGATGGTTGTGCCCAATGATGCCTAAAGCACTTTATAGAGCTGTCTGGGTTATAAAAAATGTTTACTATGATGGAGCTGAATGGCTCACTGAAAGAGTATTATTGTTTACAAGTTATTGTTTTAGATTAATTCACTCAGCAGAATTGTTAAATCCTCCGATTCCTTCTTCCGTCAGTGAGCGCTCTCCTTCCTCGAGTCCCCCCACTCTGCACTCACATATTTATTATTAGCCTATAATGAAATCTATAGTCCAACTGTTTCTCATTTTGTTTGTTTTGAATGAACGCAGACCATGTCACGTTAAATGACAACATGCATCGTCTCCCTCTTTCTCCCAGTGAAGACATCTGTACGACATGATGAAGTTTCCTCTCTGAGTATCAATCCTGTAATTGAGCTCAGGGAGAGGAGACGTGATGTGCACACAGAGGAAGTGAAAGGCCTCCCTCTCTTCTTCTTTTTTTTCTTTCCTCCCCTCCTTCTTCCCTCACTCCGTTTCTCCCTCCTTTCTCTCCTCTGCACACACCAGCTGTATCCTCCTTTTATCATCGCACACACAAACTATCCCTCTCTCTTTAGATGTCAGCTGAAATAAGTGCATTTGCATTAGCCGCCATAATATCGCTCGCTGTTCGGGGAGCGCTTGCACCGCGGCCCAGGGCCTCGGCGAGGACGACAGACACCGGTGGAATCTCATAACGGTGTCCCCCTCGCAAGCTTTTCACGACGCTGCGTCCTGAGCACGGCTGCGACGTCTCTATTCATGTCTCTTGTAATGTTGCTTTCTCGTTCTGCTCTTACAATGCGGCGGATCATGAGGAAACTGAAGTGAGACCGGATTAAATATTAACACAACCTGACACAGTCCCCACCGGAGCTACTATTCCACTTCACATGATACAATTAAAAACATTCCCACATGCATTGAGCGGAACACAGTCAAGAACATGCTGCTTTACAGACTTAAAATAAATCTTGCACTGATCTATGGAGAACCTGACAAGGAGGAGGCCAAGGTTTCCATACAGGCACTTAGCTGAGCAGAGAGTTGGAAAAAAAACAGAGAGAGAGAGAGATGAGGGCCTTACATTATTTATATGTGCTAATGGTGGCTGGCTGTGTGTGTGTGTGAATCAGCAATAGAACAATCTGCTAAAATAGACACACAGCTGTAATCAAGGCCATACATTTCCTCTCCTTATCCTGGTCCCTGCTAACTACAGGGTCAATTGGAGTCAGTTTAGTAGCATTTGAAACTCTTGCAGCAGATTATCTCCTTTTAATGGAGACAAAAGACGATGTGGAAGTAGATTGCCAGAGGAAAAGATTACCTCCGAGAGGCTATCCTAAATATGTGAAAGGATACCTCACACGGTTCCTACTGTACATAAGATATCATTGTACGTCCGCGCACAGATAACAACAATAGCTCATGTGCTTAACCTAGTTTTGTCTGCAAAAGGAATCCATTAGTCTCATTGTGCAGCCCTTAAGCTCAGCATCACAGGGGGGAACCCACTGTTGCACCGCTACATCCACGCACATGTGCCTCTCATTTCCTATGGCAGTCCAGAAGTATCCTTCAACATCCTATTGTAAAGTTTACCAGGGGAGAGGTTCAGTGTATTAAAGTGCCCTGAGAGAAACGCTAAATGATGTAAATGCAGGCAGCTGCTTGTTGCTAATGCCGTACAGTAGACGAGGAGGCCCAGCTGAGTCTGGATGTGTACAGTATCTATATAACATTATAGGCTCTCTTTCATGTCCTTGTGCTCTCTAATGGGAACAGCATGAAGACTAATGGTATAGTAAAAGTGTAGTGAACGGCGCTTCAGACCCAACTGCGACGGATTCAGTTTGTGCTGTTGTTTCAAATGTTAATTTAACCCAAAATGGGACGATATTTAACCCTATTATGACAATAGTCTGTCATACAATTAAATAGATCATGTTTAGGGTGGTCTGTTGTCTTGTTTGTCAGTTTAAAAAAAACACATCTGTCTCATCTTTTGAGGATCCACACATTGCTTGTCCATGCTTTTATTTCTTCTCATCCTGATCTCTGTGAAGCGCTCTACACAGGTATATTACTCAGTCTTCCCTCTATCACCTTCACTTGGTTCAAAATGCTGCTGGCAGGATTATTACCGGGTCAAGAGGACGAGATTATGCCTATCGTACTTATTCCTCCAGCACTGGCCCTCTTGCATTAGCTCCCTGCTCATTTTTGCATGAATTTTAAAAGTTTTTTCTTGATTTTTAAGCCCATAACTATATCAGGGGTCTCCCGTCCCCACATGAACCCTATTGCCATCTTCGATCAGATTATCCTTGGAGGCCAATTAGTGACTAAAGGTTATTGTGCTTTTGCAGTTCAAGCCCTCAAACTCTCAGATCAGATTTGTTATCTACAGATTTGAAACCTCTCCTTAAAGAATCTTTTCTGCTTAGACTCTATGTTTTTTTTTATTACATATATATTTCTTTTATTGTTGTTTTATTGTTTAATCAATAGAATCTCTTTTTTTAAAATAAACCTTTCATGAATTTCATGTAACTTTCTTCAGACAAACATCGATTGTTGTTCGTATCACTTGGAGTGGCAGAAGGACTGCGTCTCCACGGTTTGTCAAGTTCCAGCAATTTACTTTTTGCTCACTTGTTTCCTCACGCTCTCCATTGCAACACACGGCAGTCAGGTGTTTCAATGTCTGGAAATAAATGGTTGTTTAGTTGTAATTTTTGTCTTTTTAATAGATGAGCTTCTCTACAATCCTTGCATGTGCACCCCCTGGAAACTGCAGAAGTACCTTCTGGAGCAGAAGTGCCCCTGGTTGGAATCACTGCTGTAGGCTGTTTACTTCTGCATTATAGTACTTCTTTTTAATTCAGAGGGGGTCATTTGTCCCAAATCTGCTTCAACATTCACAACATAATGAAACACAAATGAACCGATAGGAGACAAACTCTTGAGAAACACTTTTAATCACGATGGAGATAAATAGTCCAACAAAGCGCGGTTTGGAAAACAAATACAGCAACACTGTCTCTGATCATCATTTGATAGTGTGCTGACACGCAAACTCTATTAAGCTGTCTTCAAATATGCAAAAATGATATGATTTTACAATGATTACATATTCACTTCCCCAGCTGGCTGGCTCCAAGCGTCTCCATTTGTCATCGACTATTGTGTCCAATTATATGATTAGCTTTGAACACTCCAGCACTTCGAGAGCTCTCGTGTGTTCTGCCGCGCAGAGTGATTCACAAACAAAGTCATTACAACATGTATTCACACATATCAAATAACAAAACAGATGGCCACTGCGCCTGCCGCCTGATTTGTTTTCCACACGAGTGGTGGAAAAAAAAGTATTTTGTGTGAGCTGTGTTTAATGCTGACTGTTTTTATTCCCAAAGAAGAGCAGCTGGCTGTCGCGCTGTTAGATCAGCTCCTATGAAAGACAATCTTGTTTTCATTAATTTCTCTACAACAAAGGCACTTGTTGGGAAGATTTAGAATTACAGCGGGTAAAGCTTCCGGATAATTCATCACAGGGACTTGACAGGAAACTTAATTGTTTTAAATGCCAGTTGCTGTGAGCAGTGCGGCTGGTTTTTCTTTGATGTCTAACAGGTGGGACAGATAGACGACCCTCTGATGTTTCATTTGACCTTTGACCTCTTGGTTATAAATCCACTTGTAGTCCTCCGGCCAATAAACCTATCATTGTATGATGGACTGCAGTTCCCAGAATTCCATGTGAAGTGGAAATCTTGTAGGCTGCCTCCCCTAATTTAACACAGAATAAATCTACACCTTCTTTATTGTACATACTGGCCACTTCTTCATCTTTAATACTGTACAAATCAACCAAAACCCCTTTTATCCTTTAACCAATAATAACTTGTATGAACCGAATCACTGTGAGGGTTTCTATAGTTTGTAAGAAATTACAAAACATTAACACAGTCAGAATCTGTTTAAGGGACAAACTAATGCAGCTTATGTATTTGTGTTCATAATTGATCAGCCATATGATAACTGGAGAATTGCTATAATACATGTGGTTACACCACAGGGTGCCCCAACTGTCTAATTGAAAGAGACTCTACACAGTTACTCAGCCACACTGACTTACTGTCTAATGCAATTAAGACTGCGTTGGTGTGACAGACACAATTATTTTTTACAATTGGTAACACCAAATCAATTCTTAGCTTGGCTGATGTTTGTGCAAGACACCAGTCAAAATCATCACATTCAAACATGAAGGTTTTTTAGCCCCCCTTCATTTGAAGCCTCTTCACAGGGACAGAACTGTCACACATCCAGTTATAAGTCATTACTTGTCTGTCATTTGAGGGATAAATTGAGAATAAATTGCATCGTGGCGCTTACACTCGAAGCGGAGACCTGACATTGAAGTACCCCTGAGTAGAAAAGGTTTTCTCTTTTAAGGTTAAGGTTGCTTTAAATCTAGTAAATAGCCTCCCTGACATCTCTTGAGCATGTTACTGTAAATGCACTCCAAGCGACTGAATCATTTAACATCTAATCAATACTCTTCACATTGCACCATAAACACACTTTAGCCTGATTTCTGGTTGAGGAAGCTGTTGTTAACAACTTCTCTGTGATGAGGCGGACAGATTATTTCACAGTAGTAAAAAAACGGAGACATTTCACTTTATGAAGTCCGTTGTAAAGTGCGGAAATACCGAAGAAGTTTAAAGCAGAAAATGTTGCACTATTAGCTTTGCGAAAGTAAAGAAAAGCACTGCGTTGCCGTGCTCTGGCAGGTAGATGGGATCTAGCTGTGCCATGCTGCCATCACCTGGTCAATAAATTTACAACAAGTTTTACGACGCCTGCGGAGTGTGATATAATCATGTCCTGTACCAAGTAGTTGGGCTTTAACTTCACAAATATAAAAATAACACCAACACCACATGACATCATGCAGCACTGAAGGTTAGATTTGCTCACTTCCATCTCTGCAGCACTGAGGCGCTCTAAGGTGAGGAGTTAAAAATAATCATGCAGCAATCAAACAAAAGCTGCAACCTTTAAGAAACCCACCATTGTTTCCTGTAGGTTTCCCCATGTGGAGGCTGTCAGGCCTTTTATAGTTCTTGGCTGACGTGGTAAAGAAAGTAGACAAGAGTTTCAGTGGTTGTGCTTAACAAAGCAGACACGGAGAGACGGTGCGGGCTTGTGCTTTAAAAGATTATGAGCTTTATTTTCGCCTGCATGTATTACACCTGAGCCACAGACACTCTTGCTTTGTCTACCAGAGCAAAGAAGCACAGAAAACATCTCAAGTCTCATGGGTGAGTCAATCAGCTCTGAACACAGATGTTTTTGCCACAACAGCAGCACTCCCATACTGTGAGTGTAAATTACACCTTGAAAATTAATTGCAAGTTTTGATCCTTTTGATAATGAACCATGCACACAGCGATGCATTCAGCGTTACATTGTACCAAAAAAAAACAAAAAACGTGTGCAGGACGCATCCTTGTGCTCTTTTTGAAATGATGTTCGATGCTTTGTTTCATATCATCGCGCTGGTCATGTTGCTCATTGATCTGATGCTGCCTGTGTGTGTGTGCCTGCTCTTTCTTCTCACACTTCGTAAGTAGTTCCTGTAGAGAATCACACTGATCACCCTGTCCTGGAACTGCTTGGAGACAATGTAATAGAGAATGATATCCAGGACTGTGCTCAGGTTCATTAGGAATGTGGTAAAGACCGCCCATGTGCTGAAACCCCCGTCTTCGCCACTCCCCAGCAAACGAAGCACTAAACATATATGAAAAGGCACAAAACACACCAACACTTGGATAATAAGCGTGATAATAATCCGGATGGACTTCTGCTTCACTTTCGGTTTGAGTTTAGAGGTGCGGCCGTGGATTAGGTTATCCACAATGACTACATAGCAGCCAATCATTATACAAATGGGCACCAAGAAGAAAAAGACGAGTCGCACAAAGTTGACGGGGTTGTTGTGGCGCATGTAGATGATGTCTTGCATCTTGACGCAAGTGTTGTAGTTGGAGACGTGATCGGGGTCTTCCTGAGAGAGAAGCAGGGGTACACTGCTGCCCAGAGTCATGACCCACACCCCTAAACTAGCCACCACGGCCTTCGGGACGTTCCTCAGCTCCTTGCCGTGCTTTGGCTGCACGATGGCCATGTAGCGGTCAGCGCTGATCAGAGCGAACAGCCACAGAGCCATGCAGGGATAGAAGATGGTGAGTGCCGCGTTGATCCGGCAGAAAAGATTTCCAAAAGGCCAGTAGTCCTGGTGGTGGTAAACCATCCTGAAAGGAAGCAGCAGGATGAAGGTTAGGTCCACCACTGCTACGTTTATCATGTAGACAGTGACTGAGTTCCTCTTCTTGGTGGTCAGGGCAAACACCCATAAAGCAACGAGATTAACTATGACTCCTATGATGAAGACGACGCAGTAGAAAACCAGGCCTGCAATGCGGTACTCCACTGGTCCCTGCTCCGGCTTCATAGTCCCCGATTCCACCGACATGTTGGAGGAGTTTAGAGCCACTGTCATACTGAGAATCACAGAAAACAGAATAATGTTAGACATTGATGTTTATTTCTACTGAACAGCACCGTTAATAGAATGTTTTGTTGTATATATCAAACATGTTTTCATGATTTGAGCTGAAGCTGTTATACACTAATACCAAAAAGGCTCATGTGCTTCGAGCAAGAACTAAAGGAGAGAAAAAAGATGTATTTTGGCCACTATTTATGTCTTTTTGGAAGCTGATCATCTGCATGAACCTGAGTAATTCTATAACTTACAATCATACAAAAACACTGTAGAAAAGTTACAAATGTATTTTTGAAACTGCAATTTTGACTAGAATATTTTTTCAGATCTCAGATGACCTGAGGAGCAACTGAACTTGCGCGTCACTTACTTATGAACATTATGTACAAATAATCCGTCATCAGTCCACATGAGTGAAATCTGAAAGACAAACAAACAACAAACAAACTTGATAAAACTCTTTACCTGACGTCACAGTTAAAGATTCTGTGTTTGACTGAAATTTGACTTTAAAAAAGAAACCAACCAATGAGGCTGAAACATCCAGAGGTTCTTCTAAATATGGGCATACCAGTGTTTGCAGAACTTCACACTTGATCATTTAAATACTTATTTTTAAAAGCGATGCAGCTGAACTGTGAAAGACGGGAAGACAAACAGATGCTGTCTGTCTAGATGTGGCCTTCCAATATATATATATATATATTTTTTAAAAATCATCAACAAGCAAATTAAAAAAAACAGCAAAAAGAAATGTATAGAGTAATAACTAGTTACAGCAAAAATCTGGAAGTGAAAGTTTTCATGTCTGAGAAATTGATACCGCAGCTTGATAAGAAATCATGTGACTTCTGTGTTTAACATTTAAGACTTTTTTTTTTAAAACTCTACTGTGCTGTAGCTCGGCTTCATAAAACCCAAACTATGGGGTATGTTTTAAAACTAAATAAAACACTTAATGCACAGTAAACCAAGTCAGTCATCTGAATCAGTTCTGTGGTCAAAGTTCGCACCAAAAGACACATCGAGCAAGTAGCTATAAAACACGTCTGCCAGCGTTCCTCCCTCCCCTCGCTTTCAATGTGAAACAGATCAGGTAGCTCTGCCTGGACAATAAAAATCTTGCACTTACCACAAGAAGTCAAACAAACATCTTGACAAGCTCACAGCGACTGGTTTATGAAGTGAAAGTGGCAGATTTAGCTGAACAGCCTGCTCTAACGGCCAAAACAGGGAAGTGAGTACTATCTCGAGCTGTAATGTGATGGAAATGGTGGCGAGACAGTGTAAAGCCCCCCATCACTTCCTGTGTCAACTGTGTAGTTGTCTGTACTTTCGGATTCCTTTACAGTATCTACGTAGTTGGAACACAAAGGGCTACAGCTTTCCACAGTCTGCAATTACACCCCCTTAAAGAAAATGATGTGCCATTAGAAGTGGGAGTGTGTTTGGCAGGCAGAGAGATGGCAGATTTAGGGCGAGTTATTGATTGGAAAAGTGGGGTCTGTCACAGCACATTAGTTCTCAGGGGAGTAATCCACAGCAGGTTGCTGTGAGAAGCATCTGCTGCTGGAGAGAAGTAATTAAAAACAGGATGTTGAGGCAGTTGCCATATAAACAGGAAATAAGACGGTGGTAATAGACACTTCACGCTGATGCTGTGAGATGGTTTTACACCACATCGACTTAATGGATGCAAAGCGCATACCTCAGGTGAAACACTCAAGGTCAGTCTGGACCCGGATTGAATACAGATTAATGTGTGTGATTAATGTGTGCGTGTGTGTGTGTAAGCTGGTGGCAGCCATGAATTAGGACATTTGACGCAGAGAACGTTGTGCAATCAAAACTTCTTCCCCCAAATCTCCTACACCATAGTTTCCATTCCTGTAGTAGAGCTTGTGAAATAGACAGCATACTTTCCCACGGCTTACATCCTCCTCACTGACCGCCACTGTTTATTTGACCTCCATAAAAGCTAGCATCTATTGTCACATATTTGGTCTTGATTGTCCATATTTGTCAGCTTCGATGCTAAACTTCTTTCCATATTCACCACATGATGTTTTTTTTTTTTTTTTTTAATGTTTTTTTTTATCACTGTGATTCTCAGTGTTTATTTGGAAGCCGCAGTCTAATTCTTATTCCTGGAAAATAATTATCTATCGGCTTGTCCTCTTGATGTGTCTTAAAAATCTCATACCAGATGGTACTTTGTGTTCATTGCAATATGTTGTTATGACAACAGTCTGTGTGATGTTTTCCTCTCTTTGATACTTGTCATGTGGTTGCCTCAGTACGTATTTCACTCCATAGTAAATGTTTTATTATTCACCTGTACAATTAACAGTATGTGTATTTATACGATACTTACGATGCAGATATACAGATACGTTTTTTTTTCTTTTTAAATTTTCTTCCTTTATAATCATTCATTTTATCCTCTGAAATTTTTTCTGAAAGTATAAGCATAAAAGTGAAATTTTACTAGAAGGATTCATAGATCCTCTTTTGTTATGTTGGTCATCAATTAGAAGTAGTATATGCTTCTTGTGAAAAGCTAATTCCACTTGTTTTCTCATCACCTCTTTAAGCTGTTTTACACTGCCCTCTAGAGGCTGAAAGGAAGAACTACAAAAGTGTCCTCTGCCCGCTATTGATTTCTTGTCTCTGGAATTATTCATTTTTTTTGTTGTTGTAAGCAACCACTTAATCATTTTAAGGGTTTCCAGACTCAGTTTACATATTTAGGGTGACACTGTGGTGCAGGCGTTTGCAAATTCACCTCGTGGAAAGGTTTGGGTTTGAACCTATCAGTTGATCTAAGAACTGTCTGTGTGGTTCATCGGTGACTGTAAATTTCCTTCAGGTGTAAATGTGAGAGTAAATAGTTGACTTGCAACCTTTCCAGGGCAGCTAGTGCTGACTGAGTGTGACTCCAGCCTACATGTGACCACCACACTTGCTAGATGGATCAAGTTTAGACATTTATAAAACAGAGTAGCACTGTACCATATCTTAACTATCATTTCATTCCTCGACTTGTCTCCTTTTCCTCACAATTTGACGCTATCTGAATTACTCTTTGTTTTGAGTTGGGGGAAGGAAACTCATCATTTAAAAAGTCCTGAATTTAAACCTGTAGGAGGATTACATAACACCTACGATGTCAGGTGTGTGACACATGTTGCGCTGTTTCCTATAAAAGCCCAATAATATGCTTTATAATAGGGTGACCATATTTTGATTACTGAAAGCCAGGACACTCGGCCCAGCAATGAGATACTCAAATGATACTCAAAGTTTACTCAAAGATTCCTTATAATTTCAATACATTTAAAACCAGAACATCACTTTATTAAAAACAACCAGGACGGCCAGGACAGGACGTGAAAACAGGACATGTCCTGGGAAAGCAGGACGTTTGGTCACCCTACTTTATAAGAAAACATGAAGCCAACTATGTAGCGGCACTGATGCGAGCAAAGTATGATGAAACTGTGCACATGCAAGGAAAAGCACTTTTTTAAACCCTATTTTGGGGCAAAGTTACCAAACATTTTAAGCAGTTTTTATCAGAACTGACTGGTGACTTCATAGATGCAGTTTTAATGTCCTAGTGACAGTTTAAATTGCAGGCTATGGTTGTCTCTACATTCGTTTAGAAAAGTGATCTTGTTAGCCCAAAACAACTGCCCAGGGGCATTATCCAAGATGGCTGCCAAGTGGAGAGACATATAACTTTGTTCAACTTAAAAGTTAAAGGCCCTTTTCAGGCCACAAACCGTCCTTCTTTCTCAATGAAAAATGAATTTGTAAATCTTTAGAGTTTTCGAAGTCTGTTCTCATTGCATTTTTGTGGAGGTTTCAAACTTACACTTTGCATTCGTATGTAAGTTGCATATTGAACCGAACTAATTGTAAAACAACAATCAGAAATTTAAAGTGTGCATAAGAAAACTTTCCTCATCAGAAGACTAAACCAGCCTCCATATTATTTAAATCACTCGAATGCATCTATGCCTCTGATAAATTGCTGCATTATGTTGAGTTCTTCATGCTTCCAAACCATCCATTTAAAACAAACACATTTCCTTCAATCCCCAAAGATCTCGGGCGATAGGAGAAAAAAAAAAAAAGCTGTGATAAAGCAGATGGCAATTATATGTGTGAAATACAGTGTTTATTGCAAACAAAGTAGCTAGACAATCAGCAAGGGACAGGTTTCAGTGAAACCAAATGAAAAAAAAAGTATAAAATAAACTATACGAAGGGGTCAAAATGCAAATATATATATAATAATACACTGTGTGTTATGCTTGATTGGCATGAAAAGCAGGATAGCTGTATTCATTTGCCAACTGAGTCGGTTTGCCAAGAAACAGAAAGGCAGCAAAGGTTAAAAAGAGAGTGAGTGTTTGCCTCTGTACAAAAACTTTGGACGTCATGGGCAGACCTATAGAAAACAGAGCCAGCCAGAGGGTTCATGGTGTCATTTTCTTGTTCAGGCTCCAATTAAAGCTACTTTCAGTAATGATTAATCTGCAGATTATTACTTTGATGAAGGCATTTAATCGTTTAGTCCATAAAATAGGGATGACAAATGAATAAAGCTGAGGGTGGAGTCTTCAAACGTCTTGTTTTGACTAATCAACAGAATGCAATCTAATAACCTTTAATACATCATCACAAAGACCAAAGAAAAGAAGGAACTGGGAAGAACTGGTGATATTTTGGGGGGTTTTTTGAGTAAAAAAAAAAAACAAACGAAACTGATCATCAAGACAGCTGATGAGTAATGTCTGCCTGACTGATTGTCTGCTCCAACTCTAAATGCTTGTGCTGTTCCTAAAATGGAGAACTATTTTGGGGTAGTAACACATTAAACCAAGATCTGCTCTGTTATCGTATATGTACTTAAGTGACTTTTTTTTCTGTAAATTGCACTTAATTTTTACTACTTTAATTTTCTACTGTCTGAGTTTGACTTCCAAACAACACTAGCAGCTCGTACAAACAGGCTGCAGCTCAGATAACATCAAGCACCAGTTGTGAATTCAATATATTGTAATTATAAGCCAGACTGCTATGTATGGAACATGTATTTTTTTTATAATTTGCATAACCTGATTAAGACAGAGAGACAGAAAAAAGACAGACAACATTCACTTTGTCGAGATATGACTAAGCAGAGCTCCCTCAGGTGAAGATGTAACCACAAAGTGAACACAGAAATGAGCAGCTCTGCTCTTTTTGTACCTCTTCAAGCATTTAATGTTACATATTTAGTTTGATTGTTTGAAGTATAAAGACGCAGATCACATTTCAGTAAAACCAGTAGCCTCAAATTATGTTGACATCATGGAATATAGTACTCACAAAACAAAAAGTAATGAGGAAACCAGTCTACAAAATCAGGTTATGCAGGAAATGAGACGCAGTTACATAAACAGTAGCAACCTGGTCACTGTAAATGTTTTTGGAGCTTGTTGTGAGACAGCTAACATCTCCATGGTGACAGATTTTACTTGGAAATTAATTTTTAACGTAAAGTTTCCGTAACACAGGTAATTAGTGTTCAAGTCTTCTTTTGCGTGTGAAAAAACAAATAACATCTGTGATCAGTCATATCCTCATAAAACAGTAAATTACTTGATTCACTATTCAACATACTTTAATGTTCCTATGTAAGGAATTATCTTGATGACTGCCTATGCTTCTACTTAGGAACATGCTTTTAATCAATTTTTGGCTACTGCACACATCTCTGATTTTACGGTTAATAATCCTCTTGGTATATTTCATGTGCCAAAAAAAAAAAAAAAAAAGAGCAATAAATATTAAGGAAAAAACATTTACTCTACAGCTCAGACTTACGGTAATGTCGAGTTTTCTGTTTTGCTGACTGTAAGCACTTCAGTGTTTTGTTTCACTCTGTGGTTTCACTGAAGCACGAACTCTTCACAAGTTCTTTTGTTCTGACTATCTTGTATCATCAGTTGCGTTTTGTGCCATCTGTGCCGTCTCATCAGTGTCTGGCAGATGTGTGGCCTAGCTGTGATGATGCACGAGAAATGGTTGCAATGAATCTCTCTTTTCTTATATTCACCCGCCTAGAATTACGATTTTCTGGCAAGGGCTTTGTAAATAAGAAAATGTCCATTGATTTTTAATCCAAATCAGCCAACCCTATTACACCTGAGAGCAAAAGGGTAAACAAATCCAAGGGCAAAATCTGAAACTGAGATTAAACCTGACTCAGTCGTGTTCTGCCTTCAGCTCTTGAAAGCCAAGTTTCTGTTCTCCTTTTCTAAAACTGTAGTGTGTTATGCTTTTTTTCCTCAGGTTAACTATAATTTATGACCCTCTAAAGGAGGCCGGTCAGTATGTACATTTAGTGACTCTCGAAAAGAACATACATTTTTATTTTCATTTCCTTAAGATGCATTAATATTACCGGCAGTGCAACAGTACTTCAAAAGTATTTCATTCTGTTATTGAAAATCAGATAATCATACAACACCTAAATGTAAAGACAGATAGTAAAAATAACATTTGCTTAAGCAGTTTCCTTAAAAAACAAATCCAACTGACTGAATGATGATTATTGTTGTATATAATATATGTTATATTCGGTTAAAAAAAAAAAAAAAAGTGAGCTTTTACAAGATTGAATTTCCCTTCTGGGATAAATAAAGTATTTTTCATTTCATTTCAGTTGCCAGATTTTACGAAGAGTTGGGTGCAAGTATACAATGATGCTCCTGAAAAGTGTAAAGAGATAGGATGTATGTCACTGCAAAACATGGCTCTGTGCTCAGTATGTTGTCAGAAAAAAATGGTCCTTTTATTTTAAAATTACATACTTTTTAATGTATTTTTCATTGTTTACCACTAATCTGAATGTAGACGTTTAACAGTGAAAAGCAAGACTTTGTAAGAGATTCTCAGCTGCAGGGCAAAGTCACCTTCAGGTTAATACATTTGACTGCTGCATCTGTTTTGTACAGTTTATATATATGTGTGTGTATTTAGCAAGGTAAATGCATGTTTGTTGCTAACCATAAACTAACCCTAAACTAAGTCCCTAGTTTGGTACTAAGGTACCTAGCTTCATCAAAGCTATTCTGTATTTTGCATTGCTGCACTGCAGAAATCAATGCTCCTCCTAAAATAGTTGGAAGCATCCTAATATTCTGTAATATGCAGCTTTGTTTAGCCACAGCTGACAGTCCTGTGTTCAAATACGTATTTGTATAAAAGTTTCTGTTGATCAGAGTGGATCTAACATGACTTGAAATGATCAATGGCTAAGGTCCCACAACAAATCTTTGAGGTACACCCGGTCTCATTACACGGCCTTCCGACTCCATCCATCCATCTTCTCCCGCTTATCCGGAGTCGGGTCGCGGAGGCAGCAGCCTTAGCAAAGCCACCCAGACTTCCCGATCCGCACACACCTCCCCCAGCTCTTCCGGGGGGACCCCTAAGCGTTCCCAGGCCAACTGGGAGACATAGTCCCTCCAGCGCGTCCTGGGTCTTCCCCAAGGTCTCCTCCTGGTGGGACGCGCCTGGAACACCTTCCGATTCACTTGTAAATTTTTCAATGCAATTCTGTTTCCAGAGAAATGATAATGTGTCTGTTATGGATTGATACGATAAGGCTGTGTTTTTGTTTGTTTTCTTTTCTTTCTTTCACGAAAGCCAGGTCACAGCTCACCTGCTCATCAGCTAGACCTGCTGCACCTGTGGAGTAGAGTTCCACTGTGGGCTGTTGGAAATCAACCTGGCACTTAGACTCTATAGAGGTTTGCAGCTCTCCTCTCAGTAGGGGAGTGAGGCTCTGGAGGCAGCACCATCAGCTGACCTCTTTTGGAAATATTCAGTCTGAGTGTCTGAATTTGAGAATTAAGCTGTAGTTTCTTTTTTTTTTTTTTTTTCCCCCATACCACCCCATTTAAAAATAGTGACTCCCACCTAAGTTGTGTTGTCGGACAAAACCTTTAGTTGTTCTGTTCTTCTGATAGATTCAGTGGGCGGTAGTTGGGACAAATCCCTCTACCGCCTTTTAGAAAAACAAAGTCCCGTTCATCCAGTTTTGTTAGCTTCCCCATTTTTATATTGTGTGTGTTCTTTGTCATGGGGAAATGTAGTCTATTGCTAATTATTAACTATGTGCAGAACTTTGCACAGGGTTTATGCACGTAAAGTAGAGAGAGGATACGTTCAAAAACAGCATCAGCTTAAGGTTTTACTTTTCATACATAGTACAGCAAACAGACAAAACACCAAAATCAAATCAAGTAGTCGGTAAAATTAACAGTTTTAGTTGTGTTTAATATGGGAAACATTTATTAATTCATTTACCTGAAATCAATCAAGACCCTCACTCAGCTGTTCAGTTTTTTGTGACAGGAGCTGAGAGGGGTGATCGGAGGTGAGTTGAGCAGAGTGAAAGGTAGACTATGATTCAGACGAACAGTTGAGTGACAATTTAAAGGAAAAATCAACACAATGTGTTGGGCAAACACATATTGCCAAAACAGTTTTTTGACTGCAGTGCACCTTGGCATTGATCCTACAAGTCTCTGGAACTCTGCCAGAGAGATGAAACATTACCCCACCTAAAGATATTCCCTCACTTATTGTTTTGCAAACCATACGAGCAAAATGCCCCACACAGCATAACAGAGCCACCAGATCTCCTCACTATAGGGGTCAAAAGGTTAGGTTTCTCCTTTAATTTGCCACCCATCTGTATCTGTCAGTCTCAAAGTGAACAAGTCAGTCCCCACAACCTTCTGCTGTCCAAACTCTGTCAGTGGCTCTTAGATGAAGTGAAAACAAAGAATAGAGTTGCATTTGAAACTGTATCAATCAATTTATCTTGAATTTTCTATTTAGCATTACTGCAGTGGTATTTTTTTAATATTACTAATACAGTACACTTTGATTCAGGACTGTTATCCATGTGACCTGTTGTATGTGTAGCAATTTCTGTATGTAGACCCCACACTTACACTATTATGAGCTAAAATACAGAGAAATTCTGACCTGAAACACATCAGTTTTTTAGTATACCAGCTGTGAAGCTTTTTGTTTATAACCAATAATTATATCAATTGATCCAGAATTGTGCACCGATTCAACATGACAAATTGTTACAATTAAAACCACATCAGGAAAATGCTTTTTATTGTTTCGACAGTACTTCAAAAACCGCCCCATCTACAAGCTATTGAATAAAATCACATCATTGTCCAAACAAAGGAAATGAATTGTAATGCAGATAAATACATGGTGCTTTTGCAAAAAAAATTAAGATTAATTTATTTGACAGGCAGTTGAAATGTTATTTGTCCACCTTATCAGTTTTCCTGAGATATTACAACTGTGAGCTGAACTGAAACGCAAGCAAAATTCATGTAAGTCGGATTTCATTTCAGAATGAATCTAATACAAGATCTACTTCCTTATTATCGTCTCAGTTCATTGTGGTGCCACTGCACAGGAGGGATCAATGAGGTCAGTGTGCAGTTGCAGATGCTGAGGTGTTTCCGAGTGTACAGCTTGTAGGAATTTAACACTTCCTATAACATGTACTAAACCTTCACTACCAGTTCATGCATTCAGTATCATGAATTTACTGGTAGGAAACAAGCATGCTTTTTTTTTCTTCTTTTTTTTTTTTTAAGGAAAAAAAAAGAAAAGACATTTCCCTTTGTTTCCATGAAAATCTCAGATTTCCTGTACAATCCATTCATCCATCCATCCATCATCTATACACCACTTAATCCTCACTGGGGTCACAGGGGGGCTGGAGCCTACTGTACAATTCACCCATATTAAGAAAAGAAAAAATGTAAACACCTCATGAGCTGATCTCCGTTGGATCCAGGTGCTGCGAAGCTGCTCGTAGCTGCCTGGCATCCATGGTGACGTGACTTAGTCCATTTCAAAGTTCAGACCAGTTTGGTTCAGACACCGTTCCAATTAAAATAGGCCCACGGAGACATAAAATCTCCTTTTCATTCTATGCAACTTGGCATGTCTCTGTTCCTTTGTTTACTGGTGCCGGTATATCTCCTCTCTGTGAGTCTCTCGCTGGTTGTACCCACAGTAGAGCTGTTGAGTTGGATCTTGTTGCCGTCGAGGAAGTCCTTGGAGGAGCCCTCAGGTGACGTCCTCACTGCACTGGAGAAGGACATGCTGACCTGCAGCTTCAGCAGTTTCAGCACTTTCCTTTTGTAGCCCTTGCAAGCAAAGAAGTAGATGAACGGATCCAAGCAGGAGTTGAGGTTCATCAGACACACAGTGATGTGCAGCGACACCTGAAAGGCCGTGAGATCAGCGCAGTCGGGGTTTGACACCAGCTTGCGGATCATGTACTGCAGGAGATCAATGTGATAGGGGCTGTAGCAGATGACAAACACCAGGGACACACAGCAGATCACACCGATGGCTTTGCGGCTTCGCCCGGACTTTTCCGTCAAGTGGTTAGTCTTGGCTGTAAAGTGGAGTTTGGAGCACAAAACAGAGTAAGACACCAGGATGGTGACCACAGGGATAACATAACCCAAGAAGACTGCACCGATCAGTATAGTGGCAATATGGTCCACCGTCTCAAAGTTGGGGTATTCCATACAGGTGATGAAGCCGTCTGGTTCCTCGTGGGTCATGGGCATGCCAAGGAGAGGGAGGGTCTGAGCCAGGACCAGCAGCCACACGCAAACACAAATGTAGCGCACATTGCTGACTTTCCTGAGCCGTGCAAAGCGCAGAGGCAAAACCACAGCGATGAAACGGTCGACGCTGAGGCACGTCATGAAATTGACCCCAGCGTAGGTGTTGATGTAGAAGATGAGGCCTGAGATCTTACACAGAGCTTCGCCCAGAGGCCAGTGGAAGCCCATGGCGTAGTAGGCGATCCTCACAGGAAGAGAGAGGGTGAAGAGGATGTCGGATATAACCAAGTTGAGGGAGTACAAGGTGGTGGAGTTGATCTTCTTCAGGTTGGGGCGGATGACATGGAGGGCGAGGCAGTTACCGAACAGCCCCACAAAGAAGACAATGGAATAGAAGAGAGGAATGACGATCCTGGTGTAGTCCCGATGGGCGTACAGGGTGTCACAGGTGGTCTTATTGGAGTTATTGTTGGAGGGGGAGATGGTCATGGTCTCAGGCACAGCGGCAGAACCCATCTTGATATTTTAGGAACCAGTAACTGCAAAAAAAGAAATAAAACTTTGGGTAAACTTCAGTATGAATGTACATTTTCTTTCCCTTTTTCTTTTAAATTAAGGAAACAAAAAAGGAGACTGAAACACTGAGCCATTGTATTATATGTTGAAATGAAACTCTTTTGCCTACTCGGAGCATGGCACAAGAGCACATGGGGGGTTACAAATATAACACTTTGCTTTCGAAAAGGAAGTAAAAGACGTTGCAATATTTTTCATTACTCCTTTCCAGACAGGCTGTAATGTTAAAAAAAAAAAAAAAAATATGAGCGCTTTATACTTTTATTGTGCTCATATGCACTAATTGTGTCATTTGGTTAAAAGGTAGAGAGCAGCCTCTCTTTAAAAATAACTCTTGTTTCTGGAATTGCAACAAATTATTTTAAAAAAACAAAGAAAAGGTTTTGATGCTTTGATATTGAAAACTGTTGTGAAAAAAATAAAGATACAATAACTGTGATTGTATTTGTTTTACTCTGGGCTAATCAAATCAAATTAACAAATTTGTGCTTCAAGCAAGTTAATTAGCATTTCGAGTTGCATATTGAATAAAGAAATACAACCTTGGCTGTCAAATGCACGTTGTTTTTGTGGTGTATGATGCCCTCTTGTGGTTCCTGAACAAAGCTCGGCAGAGACCAAACTCTACCTTGACTTTTGCCTCAGTTCTGCTAACTGGGGTTTGCACAACAAGGCATTCGCATTTCTCAAAACAAAAGATGAAAGTAAAGTTCAAGATTAAACAAAAAAAAAATCCAAAAAAGTAAGCCATAAGTCAAATCTGCAGCAGTAAAACAGCTTTACTTTTCCACTTAAAATTGGGATATACTTATTGAGCTCTCTTTGTTTAGTTGTTTTGGTTATGAAGGCAGTTTATGGCTTTAAAATCTTTATATCATAATCACAATTTTGAGAATTTTGATTTTTTACATTTAAAGATGCCAATAAAGAGAAAAGAAAAACAAATAAGTAAAGATTGAACAGATCTCCTTCATTTACATACCAGTAACACCCACATGTTTACACCTTTTGAAGGTGTTTGTACCAAATACAGAGGCATAAAGGAAATACATTAACTCTGATTAACTTTGATTCTGAATGCAGCTGCAGCACTCTCCCACTAACACCATAAAAAATACTTGGTGTTGAGAGATGGCCTTGTATATGAGGAAGTCAGCTTCCCCAGGGTGTTTTGCTTTAGAATGCAAGGCCGTTGGAAAGTCATATTGTTGGAGCCAAAATTAAAAAGCGCCCTGGCTACAGTACAGCTACCTACGCATGCACGGACAGTACTGCACACGCTTCCCAGTCCACTGAAACAGATGAAGGGGTTCTGTGGGCAAACATGCAAATGCTTTCACAAAGCTATTAAACAGATGAATTTAGAAGGCTGAAAACCAGCCCGTGCTTTACGTCAGCTCTATGATTTGCATATTTGCAATAAGATTAAAACAGTTAGAAAACCTTCTTTTTTGTTGTTTGCTTGACATATTATCAATCAAACTGAAGTTGAGTGGATTGACTCAGTAGAAATGACACGACAAAAATAGAGATAACTTAAGTTTGACTGATATTGCCTCAGGTAGATGATGGAAAGGTGGGTTTTCTGACGGTTTGCGAAGATGGAGTTATCTGTTTTTGCAAATGAACTCTTCAGTTGTTTTTATTCAAATCATGTGACTGGTTACTTTCACTCTGGCATGTTTTTAGGACAGATTTCCCCTGTTGAAGACTTATGTGGCTTTAAAATCCAATATATTATGCATAAACAGTAAAAAGATATCATTGTATGCCATTAAAAAACGCCATTCCATCATTTGGAAAGAATTTTAGTTTCTTTTCCAAGAGAAGGCGTCCCACATGTAGTAATAATCTGACCATGGCATCCAGCACATTTTCACAATCTGCATAGGTCAACTGAAGCTGTTCTCATACTGTCACATACTGCAAAATAATTCACCAAATAAATAAATAAATGAAGTACAGTTTGGAAGACAAGCTTACCTCAAAGGTGGAATATGCTGCTCTTCAGAGTTCCTGAAGTCACGTTGACCCAGAGCGCGTGGAAATATTTGGTCTAAAGTTTTTCACAACTACGAGCGCTGCCCCTCGCGGCACTGCAATCACACTGGCTTGCGTGAAAACAGCATGACAGAGAGAAATCGTGTTCAGTATCTGCTGCCAGTAACCATAGTGACATAATATCCTGTTGTAGCTCTCTCTCTCTCTCTCTCTCTCTCTCTCTCTCTTCCTTTGTCTGTCTTTGCCTACACATGTGTCTCCGTACCTCTTACTTTTGCTAAACCTTTTCAAATGTTCTATCTGGCCACAAAAAAAAAGAACACTTTTGAAACACCCACTTATTGCATGCAAAAACTTTTCCAACGTCAGCATGTGACACTAACCAACTGTCGTAAGTTATTTCATTTGGTATTTGTGATTGCTACAGTTGTAGAGCCATCTGTGGTTTATTTTAGGAAAGAAAAAATGTAGGTTTGACATGACATGTTTGTCCTCATGGGAGGATGTGGCTTCAGTTGCCCCCTTTTTTTTTTTTTTTTTTTTAAATATTACACCTAACTTGTGCTGTTGGTGTAAAGAAAATGGGTTTCTTTTTTTTCTTTTTTTTAAAAATATAATTATACTTCTCTCAGATAATCCCTCATTTAAATTCTGTCTCTTTGTTTCTGATCTGTTTCCCTCCAGACACAAATGAGTGATAGCAGTATGAGAAACTTCCCCTCTGCTCCAGAGACACCTTTGTTTTGATGTTTTGAGTCCCGGATGACGTTCAGAAACAGAGAAACCACTCTTCTGATTCATTTCTTCTATTTCTTCTGAGATATGTCATTTATTAACTTCATGTGCTGCAAATGATCAAATAATCAGTTTAGTGATCAAAGCTGTAATGACATTTTTCTACTCCCTATCATCAATGCTTTCAAGAGTACACTGACATGACATTAAAAAGTCCTCTGCAAAACAAATGTAAGCTATCTATAGTAGTTATAGCTAGTTATGATTTACAGTGAAAAAATAATTAATTAAAAAACTGAATACATTGGAGTGAGACATCAGAAACTACTTTAAATGTAGTATGTGCTCATGATTTGATATATCACATAGAAGAAAGAGAAAAATATTCACTTCAAATGGATATATTTTCATTAAAAATGTTTCATTCTGTCAAGGTAAAAGGGTAATATCGCAGATGTGAGCAGAAATTATATGCACCAACTGCTCTTTTGTGGCTTTCACACCTTTAAATCACTCCCGCCCTTCTGGATGTCGCTTTCTACTAAACGCATTTTCAGCTGCCGGATGTACACGATGATGGCACATGCATGTTGGTGTGTTTTTCATTTACCTCCACTTATTGACTTTCCAGTGAACTCAACAGTTTCTCGGCAATAAAAGCAAAGTGAGTGGTTGTGCTCAGTACTGACTTCACCTGCTTTCAAACTACAATAAAGAAAATGTTGCAGCATGAGAAAAAAAAAAGTGTGCATGTGAACCATTGTGTGGCCACTTCAATGCTACTGAATAGAATGTCTGAAGAAATTTTATATATATATATTTTCTTTATTGGCCACAACCTTCCTTCGTTAAAAACAAATCCGGTGGTGAGGCAGAGGAAGCAGTTTAACTTCCTCATGGCACGGCCTTGTGGATCTGACTCACTGGGCTTCAGACGGCCTGATCACACCCAGCGCTGACAGACAACAGACATGGCATTTTGCAACTGCTATTCATAGAAGACAATGGGGCTCCATACCAAAGAAAAGTCACTTGAAATGTCTTTACACTATGCTCTCTGCAGATGTTGGAATCTGTCATTTTCTCCAAATGAGATATATTTTCAATGATCATGAAAACGAGATCCCAAAAAATAATTACATAAACTAAAGACTGTAGGTTGGACTGTGACCTTTGTTGCAAATTTATCAGAAAATGTGATACTGATCGGTGTTGTGTACATCCTGTGCCTGATAAAGGAAGTTTTGAGTGAGAAACTTGAAAAAGGATATCCTCTTTAGCTGTATGTGATGAAACCCATCGTTTTCTGCCATGGATTCGCCGTCTCTTCTAGCCTGATGCTCTAATTGATATATTTCTTGTCGTTTGCACAGGAGGTCAATGAAACTAACAGTGACCAGCTCAGACGTAGTGTAAAGGTAGTGTTTCAGGGTAAAGCCTTCCAGTTTCACTCTGCTCACTGAGGTGAATGCATTTCAGCACTGCGTTTGCTCTCCAGTGCCAAGTATATATATGTGGTTCTTAACATTAAGCTAAAATTGGAAATTAAATAAAACAACAACATTCTGATTATATATAGTACCCATTTCAAGTCTCAAAATAGCCTTCACCTGTCTACCATCTTTCCCAAATGCCCTATAAGAGATGCTATATTTACAGAGTATACAGTATTTTGTGTTGGTACCGCAAACAGAACAAAACTGTGACAACATCCTAATAAATAGCGTCAATGGTCTGAGGGCAGGTCTCTTGATTTTTGCTCGACACGTGGTACGATAAGATTGCAACAGCACAGGAAACTTTTGCGGCTGTTCATTTTACTTGTGAAAAAAAGAGAAAAGGTTAAGTAACAAACATCAGTCTAGACTTATAACACACTACAACATTTGGTTGTATTAATATTTCAAGGCACAATATAGTAACGTGACTCAGACACATAAAACACAGACTAAAGAATTACAAATGTGTTTCTTTATTTGTGGTGTTTTGGTGTGGAAACAAAAGGCAATAGTTTTACATCATTTTTCACACACAGATCTTTATTGCGTATGTTGTGGAGTGCGTACATCCATTTCGAACTTCCAAACTGTTTAACCTTCATTTGATGTTTTCTGTTGATATTAGACTTCATTTGTCACTTTCATTCATCAAGCAGGAGGTTTGTTGCGGTATTTGTGCAAACTACAGTCAGAATGTTTGTGACAGTGATGACTTCTTGTTGTGTTGACTCCAGTACATTTAAATTACAATGATGTTTAATTTACACTAGGTCACTGATTATTATGTTTGCTTACATCCACATTTAATGAACTGTGCAGAAACGGTGAAACTCTACGATGCCTAAACGTTTCTGTAATGATTTAGAGGGCGATGAATCCTGCTCTGATCAATGACTGACTGTTCAGCCATAACAGATGTGAACACCTTCAAATATACTTTTAACTTCAAGCAATGAGCAGGATATCAGTGTCCTTAAACTGTGCATTATGTGTTCTTATACTAAAGATCAGCTGAAAACGGCTCCAGTTACAACAGAGGGCCTGTTGAAACGCATGTGTTGCTGCAGTTCTCACTAACATGTCACAACAATTTATCCAAACTAACACAATTTATCCAACAATTTATAACTTGCTTGGTTATGTAATTGTGTCTCAGGCTTTACAATCAATATTTCTCAGTGTGCAGTACTAAGAACATCTGAAATACCATGTTGGCAAAAAAACAACCCCAAAAAACCAACAACCTTGCATTCCTCTGTGACCAACACTGTAAGCCATGATCATCCAAAACCAGAATCTTTCATTTCAGTTCAACAGTGCTCTCTTCTGGCAGGAGAAAAGTACTGCAGCTTTTGATGCTTGCATCATTCACAATGGGGGATAGAAAAAGAGTGTAGGTCACCTAAGCACACGCAGTAAACAGAGTTTACGAAACACAAAAACTAGTGCTATGACAAAAGTAAGTCACAGGATGGCAGCAATGTCTTTACCTGCTCTACTGTCCTCTAAATACGTTTTGATTCAGTGCTAAACTCAAAAGAAATCTCTATAAATGTTGTATTATCCAGTCTCTGGCTAAAACCTACTTGTAATTGAGGCAGATGCCATAGTTCGCAAATCTGTGGCTAATCGAAAATGAAATGAACATTAATAGGAATATTTTAACTTCTTTTTGTGCGAAGATGCTCATCACAATTAAAACAACTAAAAAAAACCTTTTACAATTATTCCGCTTACCATTGTGGTTTAAAGCATATACAACAATTTTGCTTCATGGATGTCATTTATTACATGTATCTTACAAAACTCATATATTGTTCAGCTTGACTTACTAAAAGTAACAGCGCCAGACCAAAAACCCACAGAAAAGACTCACTGTATGCATTACTATATTCAGCTATATGTTAATAAATTTTCTTCCTCTTACCAATTTCACATGGCGTATGTTAATATCTCCTTCCTCAGAAACTAAACTAAAATCCAATGTACATAGCAACTAAGAGAAACCACCAAAATAGAGAATAAACCCCACACAAATATGGCTCTTGACCTACTCCTAAGTTTTGTCTGTGAAAAAACAGCCCTGCGTAACCACGACACCCCCGCCTCAGTCTTGCAAATGTGTGCAGTGCATCGCCGTTGACGTGCGAGATGTGAGACGACAGCAGAGGCTACTTTGATTTTCAAGGGGGAGTTGAGTAGCTCTTTATTAATGACAGAATATTGTCATTAAAAAACAGCAAAAATCCTATTTCCTATTAGATACCATCTGATCTTTGTTGAGACAAACAACTTCAGAAATGTCACCAATGTTATACACAGCTGCAGGATTTGAACCACTGTGTGACAGAAACAGGAACATATGCCTCACTTGACTTTGCATGAATCGATCATTTAGTTGCATGCTAAAACCTATGCATTGTAAGATAGAAAGTTAAGTAGCAGTAAAGGCTGGGTTTCTATCATGCCAACAAAAAATTCTGCAAACAGTACATAAACTGAATATTTTAAAGTTTTCTGCATAAACCGTCACTGCCATGCCTTCATTTGTGGAATTGAATGGTTACTGCATGGATGTCTTTGTAATGCAAAGACAATTGTGCAGCAAAGTTTCTGTAAGATAAAGAAGCAGATGGTTAATAGCAAACAATATGTAGTGTGAGAAAGTGGAATTTTTGGAGTCCAAAAAGTACCTATGAGTGTGTTTCCTCAACAAACATGACACCTGTGAGCTGCAGAAGAAAGTCTGCTGCCGTATTAACTCCTACTACTGTGAACTTTCATGTTGTACCAGACTTGTTCTATGCAAAGGAAATGCAAATGGTTTGTGGGTGCTTATCTAATTAGGTATCATTTGAGTCATTAGTGGTGTTTTGTCTATTTCCTCGTAATGGAAAGCATTTCTCATGCCTATAACATTTCTGTTGAGATAAAATTGATGTATCAACTGTTCTAACTCAGGGGTAAGGTTAGGTTCAGATTCATGCACTGATGGAAATGATGTCTAGCTATGATAATACCTTTGTGAATAATGTGGCAGTAATTTCAATGAAACTTAAACAGAATGTTTCCTTTGGGGTATGTGTGAAGAAATCTTGCTAGACAAGGATGTTAGCATTTGTCGGTTCTGCAAATCCCTAGTTGGTGAATTTGATTTAAGCTAATTCATGGCAATTGGTGAATGTAAACAAAACAAAAGTGGTTTGTTGGTGGTTGCCTGAAGAAGTTGTTTGACAGCATTTAGCGTGGGAGTTGTTTCAGGGTTACATATGTTTTGATTTTGAAGAAGACCTTGTCTGACCTCTCTACATGAGACGACTTTCCTTTTAACTCCGGATACGTGCAAAAGAACAGTCCAACGCAATATTAATTCAGTTCTATTCACTGAAGGTGACGACAGACGTGCAAGTAGGACAGTAAAAACTTAATTTTTTTTTAAAAAGACCTACTCATCACAGTGTCCAGTTTGATGGGTTCAGCATCAAATCAGCATCTAGAAAGACTTGGAAAAAAATAACTGTACACTTTATGGCTCTCATTAATTGCCTCATAAATATAAAATCAACAGATAAAATATAAAAGGAATTTTACAACCCAGCTCATTGAAGGGAGAAGGGAAGCAACAAAACCAGATGTAATTAGTTTAAATGTATTAATTATTTATTCACTGAGTTTAACAAAATCCAACAAAATTGCCAACCGAGAGAAAACAAGGCACAAAGGTCCGAGGTTAACTCAACATACAAGTAAGATGATAGATCTTATGTAAATAGCTCACAGCTGACAAAACAAAAGAACAAAGTAAAACCAACTAACAACAGAAATACGTGTTCAAAAATCAAAGTTCACAGAAAAACACCTTCCTAAATGGGAATAAATAATATTAATCAACACAACTATTTATTTAACCTTTATTTAACCAGGAAGCTAGTCCTGTTTCAAGACAGTTTCTTGACTAAGTGCCTTAAACACGTGCAACTTTACACATGATACCTTTCTCACAAGAAAAGAAGGCACTGGTACACTGAGTACAGTCACCCTGACAACAGGGCTGCTCCAAAATGAACAGGCCACCATCACCAGCTGAAACGTTCTATTGGATCTGGAGAGATTGGCTCGTCTCCACCCATCTGCCCTGGCCCAGTTGGCGACCGGCGACGACACACTGTCATTTTCATAAAGAATAAAACACAAATACAAAGAAGAAAGGGCCAGCAGCCATAACAAGGAAGAACACAGAATGTTATCTTAAACTGTCACAGTCTCTTATTTTGGAATGTGGATTACCTCAAAGCTCTGTGTTTGGTCCTTTTTATGTCCTGTAAAACTCTGGGCATCAAATTCTATGCAGATGATACCCACATTAGCATCTTTGATTTCCCACATGATTTTGCTTACTTTAAGAAGCTTGAACATCTGCAACAATGAGCTTATTGTAAACAAAGGAAAACACACACTATCAGAGGGTCCTCATTTGTTGCACTACCACAGGCTGACACCTTTACTTATCGCATTTGTATCATATAAACCGGATGCCATGTGTGCAACTGCATTGTCACACTTACAGTGTGAAGTTAATAGCTTAGTTAGCTTACTTGTAGTCCACTGTGAATGCTTTGATAATAAATGCTGGGTTTCTTTCTGCTATGCATGCATGCTATTCTCTCTTACTGTCTCAGAGTCTGGACCCTAAATGAATCATTTAAATAATTTCTTGTGTTTACTTGTTTGCGTAATCTGTGTCTTGATAAATGCGTACATGTCCCGATTATACCAGAACACATCAGTAATCATTCAAACCAGCTTAATCTTTCTTTACGACACAGTTTGTGCACGTTGCTTTCTATGCAAAATAATAGTGCAGCTTTTCCAAAAACTCAGGAAATGTTAAAGGTTAAATTTAAATACGGGACTCTGAACTATAAAAAGACGATGTGCACCTGCTTGATTTTGTAAGACACACACATACACGCACACACAGCAGTCTCACCACAAGATGTGGGACCCAGCAGGAATGAGGCCTGTGAGGGGGAGCAGGAAAGGTGGGTGAGGAAGTGGTGATTTTTATCTACGCACACCCACACAGAAGTCAGATGTGGGTACGCGCCAGAGAAGCGCAACATGTTCTCATTTTGGCATATTCAAAGTTTACGTATATTGTGAAATATTTGGTAGTATGCGCAGTGTATGAATAATGTTTTCAATAGTACGAGAGCACACATTGCAAACTTGTTTCATAGTTCAAATTTCCAGCAGCTCGTAACATCCACTTGCATGCCAGATGACTTGACCGCATGCGTAGGGAAGTGAAAGTTGCTGCTGTGCTACATTAAAGACCACAGGTTTTTTTTTTTTTTAAAGAGATCCAAAAACTCTTTATTTTCTTCACCCTGCACAAATACAAAGCACAATTTAATACACAAACATAGATTAATGTTAATGAATTTTGACACTATTGTTACAATAAGGAAAGCAATACTGTAAACTATCATAGAAAAAGAAAAAGAAAAAAGACTGTACATACTGTACAAACACTGCTGTCAACACTATAACAAGGTACAGAGAATATTATTTTGGATGGATTAGTACATTTGATTTAAAGTTTGAAGGATAGCATGTAAGTGACATAAACAGTATATGTTCCTGCACAACTGACACAATATCTGGAAGGACTTTTTAGTCATTTCCATTGCCAGAACCAACACAACAGACTAGACTAGGCCTGTTTGAGTTTAACGTGGTAAACTAGGTCTTCTGTGACACTCATGGTAGACGTATGTGCTGTGAGCTCAGCTGTGGTTTCTCTCAGGTGTTGCTGCTGCTGTTGTCAGCTGTTGTTTTGGGGGAGGCACCGGAAGTATAGAGATAGTCCTTAAACAGGCTCGTCACCCGCTTCTTGTAGGTTTTAATGGCAAAGAAGTAGATGACTGGATCCAAGCAGCAGTTGAAGTTCATGAAGGAAACTGTAATCTGCAGGGCAAGCAAGGATTATGAAAAGGAAATCTTGAGAGAAGTATTTGAAATCAGTTGAAAATAGGCAGTTCTTACCTGTAAAGACATCTTAAAGGCACGCAGTTCTTCACAGGTTGGCTGGTGGTATATTTTTCTGACCATAAACTGCATGAGGTTGAGGTGGTAAGGGCTGAAGCATATGATAAAGGTAAGGAGGATGAGGAGAATGATAGTGTTGGCCCTATGATTTCTCCTTGACCGTCCAGTTACGGAGTTCTGCTTGGCTGCACCTCGAAGCTTCAGGTTGATCTTGGCGTAGCAACCCATGATGACAGCGAGGGGAGAGCAGAAGGAGATGACGCAAGCCAGAAGCAGGAGATAAGGGGTGGAGCGGGAGCCCTCGAAGTTCAAGTACTCCATGCAGGTCCGTTTTCCCTGGTGGTCACGCAGCATACTGCGGAACAGCAGAGGAGATATCTCCAGACATACTAGAGCCCAGACCAGGCAGCAGACCCTGCGAACAACCTTCACACTCCGCAAACACTGCAGACGGTGTGGATGCACCATGACCAGGTATCTGTCCAGGCTGATGCAGGTCATGAAGCCAATACCTGGATGTACAACACAGCTGTAGTTAACAAAGATAACAGCCATAACAACCAAAAGTAGAGTCAATGACTTGGCTTTCACCATCACAGCCCCATTCTGATAATAACTCGAATGGCTCCACATATTAAGGATCTTGTGCCCATATTTTTCAAGCCATTGTAAATACACCCTTAAGCTTACACTATTGTCTTGTTGTCTGTTCATGCTGACATCTCTCACACATAAAGTGCTGAATGTAAAACTAAAGGAATGGGATACAAAGATGTGGCTTCACACTGGAAAGACATGCATAAAAATATGATGGCAAATTGGCAATAAAATTTCTCATTTTACCTGCATATGTGTTTGCAAAGAAGAGAACTGCAGTCAATTTGCAGAGAAAGTCACCAAAGGGCCAGTCAAAGTGACGGATGTAGTAGGTAATTCTGCCAGGCAGCGTCAGTGTGAACAGGCCATCAGATAAGGCAAGGTTGACCAAATAGATGGAAGTGGAGTTGAACTTCTGCTTTCTCTGGCAGATAACATAAAGAACCAAACTGTTGCTGCAGGCGCTGATGATGAAAACCACAGAGTAGAAAATAGGGAAGATGACCACTGCAGCTCTTTGGTAGACAAACACATCGCAGCTACTCTGGTTTGGTGAGTTTTCAGCTGAGTCCAGGGAGATATTTTCAAAAGCCATCCCACCTGTCATTTTAAGACAAGATCACACAGTAAATAATACATCTTTACAGGTAGGGAAGAGTGCATGAAGGAGCAAGACACCAGTGCACTATTCTAAAGGTAAAGATAATCAGAATAAAAATTACTTACAGTAAGAAATGGAGAAGCCAAGTTAATTTTCTGTCAGTGCTGCTTGGTCTGGCTGTGGATGTAAGTTGTGATGTGATGCCAGAAATACCTTTAACAAATGGTTGTGTGACGTGTTAAAATCCCACCTCTTTTTTTTTTGTTGTTGGCATATGTCTGTTAAACTTTTTTCACACTTCACTAACAGTTCTGCAGACAAAGGTGCTACTTCCTGGCTGACAATTTTGAAAGAAGTTTGACTTATAGTAATCTGAACTTTACTTTTTTAATGTTTTTTTTAAAATATTTTTTATTATCTTTTCTTTTTCTTTTTCATTATGTGTCTCATTGTTAGCCTGTCAGTCACTTTTAAAGGACTTTAAATTGCAACAACCTGTGTTTGAGCTCAAATGCAAAAAAGAATGCAAGATGTTGTGTGTGAATTTTAACTATTTTGTTTTTTTTTTGTTTCACATTTTTGTGAAAACTGTCATGTCATGATAAAATGGTCTCATTTTTTAAAAAAATAGTACGCAGCTTCTGTACTGTTTTAAATAGTCCTGGTAATCTTTGTCCTGTTCCAGAGTATTCTAACACACTATCAGTTGAGAGCAGGTGATGCAGTATTTACAGTCAATACAATTTACAATTTACAATAGTAACTCCAAAAACTAGAAACGGAAAAAAATAATAATAAATAAAAATTTGCTAAATTATAATATAGTGAAAATGGACATTGCTCTTGAATTGTGTTTGAAAAGAATAACTAAAAAAAAAATTGACAAATTAGAGCACTTTGCTGATGAGCAGTGAGCCAACATCAAAACACCTGTCAACAGGTGCAGAAGTCTGATTGAGAGTTACAGAAAACACTTTACTGCAGTGATTGGCTCAAAGGGTTGTTCGACAAAATATTAGTTTACGGGTCCACTCATGCTTGTTTGCTTGTTTGTTTGTTTGTTTCTGTTTGTTTGTTTTTTTTATTTCTGTTCGAACCACAATTCAAAAGCAATGTCATGATTTTCATTAAATTTTTATTTATTATTACTTATGTCAATTTCAGCTTATTTCAGCATCAGCTCTTTTTCTTCTTCTTTAATGGGGGGGTATGAATAAATTTAAGGATGACTGTATCTAGTCTGTTATTAGCCATGTGCAAGTCATGATTAAAACCAAAGAGCTTAGAGAGCTTATTGTTATCAGGGTTCATCACTAAGAGAAAGTTGCTGCTCACAAGACTGGGAAAGGATATAAAGCCATATCCTAGTGTTTTTTAAGTGAATAAAAAAAACACCAGGAGCTCCAAACTGTGAAAAATCTCAATGGAGGAAGCCAAAAGTGACACTGTGCTGTCAAGAAAGATCACCACAGAGGCCATCCCGATTAATCAGAGCATTCTGGTACCAACAGTTCAGGAGACACTCCAGCAGGCATTGTACGAGGCTGGTCTTCATGAACATAGACCAAGGAGGACTCCACTTCTCCTAGACAGGCACACAAAAGCAAACCGAGCCTTTGCAAAAGTTCACCTGAACAAAGGAGAAAACTTTTGGTCAACAGTTCTGTGGTTGGATGATTTGAAAATGGATTTGTTTGGACACAGGGACGTCGCTTCCATTTTATGAAATACAGGAGAAACATTCAAGAACACCATCCTCACAGTCAAGCATGGCTGCGGCAATGTAATGCTTTTGGGGGAAGTTTTTTAACCGAGGGCCCAGACACCCTTGTCAAGGTATATTGAAAAAAAAACATCAGACAGTCTGCAGAAAACCCTGACCAGGGGCAGCATTGGACCTTCCAGCAAGACAGCGATCCAAAACATACAGTCAAAGTGGTTAACAGGAGCCACTTTCGGCATTTTGAAGCTGCCCAGCAAGAGTCCAGACCAGAATCCCACTGAGAACCTTTGGAGGGAACTGGAAACCAGAGTGATGGTCAACGCTTGTTAGCAGTTGGCAAATGAAGGTGTTGTCAGAGATTACTGAGAACATGTGTGAATAATTTTGGATGTGGTATTTTTAATAAAAATGTCAAAAACACTTCATATAGCTACAATTCATAATCATCATCGCTAACACAATGTCTTCTTAACTTCTGTCACCTGCTTATATCATTTCCAGCCAGAATAAACCTATTGGTCAAATAAAAATTCACTATAAATCTACATGTATATGATTACTCCTATCAGGGATTAACATTCTGACCATTCATATAAGTATTTAAAGTGAAAAATTGTAGAACCTTTGGGCTGCAGGGTGGCGCAGTTGGTAGCACTGTTGCCTCGCAGCAAGAAGGTCGCCGGTTTGCGTCCCGGTGGGGGCGCCAGAATCTTTCTGCGTGGAGTTTGCATGTTCTCCCCGTGCAGCGTGGGTTCTCTCCGGGTTCTCCAGCTTCCTCCCACACAGTCCAAAAACATGCCGAGGTTAATTGGTGATTCTAAATTGTCCGTAGGTGTGAATGTGAGTGTGCTTGGTTGTCTGTCTCTCAGTGTGGCCCTGCGATAGACTGGCGACCTGTCCAGGGTGTCCCCTGCCTTCACCCTAAGTCAGCTGGGATAGGCTCCAGCCCCCCGCGACCCTAATGAGGATTAAGCGGTGTATAGATGATGGATGTAGAACCTTTTCTCATATGGGATTTCATTTACATTATTGTACATGTTCAGAGAAAGGAACTTAAACCACAAACACTATTAAAATCCTGGTTCAAGTGATTTCTCGAAGAGTTATTTTTTTGCAGAATGGTGCAAACCAAAGAAGAGAGAATTCTCCGATGTATTTGACAGTACGTATCAAAACCAGTAAGTGATGTAATTTTGTGAAAATGTGATCCTGCAGTTATACAATGAGTCAAAAGGGAGAGCATGAGTTTTACTAAAGGTTTGATACATTCTGTGATTGTAAGAAACTTAACTATGACTACAAAATATGTGTTAGAGACAGCAATTGCATGATATGAAGTGCTTTGGCTATGAAGATAGAATTTATTTCTCAGATATAATATTTAAGACTGTGTGCCTCAAATGATGTTAGGATTCTAAATAGACATCAAATTTTTAAACTACTCTTCTTCTTCTCTAATTTCAGGCACTTTTTGGCCAAAGCTGCAAGGCAGGACATAGATTATTGCCCCTGTGGAGGTTGAACGCATTTAACTGCTGTAACAAAACCACCTGCCATGTGATTTGTAGTGGCTCCAGTTTAATAAAACAGCACATGTGTTTGCGCTACTGCGTGCAGTACGTGCAGCATGTTTTGAGAAAGGTTAGATGAAGTGATAGAGTGTGAGGTTTCATTTCATGTTCTTGCCACTGATGCCTCTCAAGTTTGTACTCTCTGTCGCTGAGGTGAATGTAGGCAGGCCTGCTGCGGTGCTGATGGAAGATACAAAAGGAAGCAGAAGTAATGCTGGCGCTGTCACAATCTGTCACAATCCTATGATGTATGGATGAAACACCAACAGTCTGAAGAATGTCATATATAAACCACCAACCCCTGAAAAAAAGACTAAAAACGCATAACACTCTACATAGTCTAAAACTTACCAAAAAAAAAAAAAAGATAAGAAAGAAAGAAAAAAAAGCATGGTGTTAGATTCTGAGAACGGTTGTCGGTGTGAAATTCTCAGTAATTTTATCAGCTTTAGATGATAATCTTAAAATAGCTGTGTAAATACATGAGTTATAATCTAAGTCACCAGGCACCACAACGCAGAATGATGGGTACAAAGGAAGAAGCTCATTCGATAAGGAAGTAGAAATGTAGAAATAAAGTACTCTCTTAGTCATTTAGTACACATTAAACAACAACATGGTGTACAAAGGGAACTAACAGGCTTGTCATGTATGCTTTCGTAACATCCGTCCATCCTTTAACTATACACCGCTTAATCTTCACTAGGGTCGCGAGGGGCTGGAGCCTATCCCAGCTGACTTAGGGCAAAGGCAGGGGACACCCTGGACAGGTCACAAGTCTCTATCTATCGCAGAGCCACACAACCAAGCACACTCACATTCACATCTACGGACAATTTAGAATCACCAACTAACCTCAACATGTTTTTGGACTGTGTGGGAGAAAGCCGGAGAACCCGGAGAAAACCCATGCCGCATGGGGAGAACATGCAAACTCCATGCAGACAGATCCTGGCTGTCCTCACTGAACCAGTGATCTTCTTGTTACGAGGTTACAGTGCTGACCACTGAGCCACCTTGCAGCCCCTACTTTTGTAACAGACTTGTCATTAAAAAAAAACAAAAAACTTTTTAATATACAATACGATATCCAGTCCAATTTGGTTCAATTTTATTTATGTAATGCTAAATCAAAACGTTAGTCACTTCACATCTAAGATGAAGACTGTACACTATTATAATATAGAGAGAAAGCCAACAAATCCAAAGATTCCCTTTGAGCAAGAACGCTCCAGCAGAACCAGGCTCAGAGAGGGCGGCCGTGTGCCTCGACTGGTCAGGGTGAGGCTGAATGGGAGATATACTGGTATTTACTGTAGATACATTTAAAAGGTAAAAACTATGATAGCTACTATTTCTTCAAAGTATTCATCCCATTATCCAGGGATCATCTCAACTGCCTGGGTGCATGAGAGCTTTGTGTTGTAATGATAATGGTAGGATAATGTTTTTGCTAATGAGGCAGTAATGAGCCTTGGCTAGTAGATATACCATGCATATACATTATACAGGTTACCTCGTGTGTTTGTTGTTGTTGTTTTTTCTGTTTGTTTTTACATTTTGTATTGATACAAAAACTGAGACAAAAAAATGACATTTCACTTGTGCATTTATGAATAATGACATCAGCATTTTCTCTACTGTATGTTGTCCAGTAAATGTTAATAAGGTGAGTGATAGACTATGTGTTTGGCTTTTGTTTTTAGCGATGATATTCTTCCTCTTTAACATCAGCTTCAAGCATCTGATGGATCACACACTGACCCCCACTACTACATGACTACTCCTGAATACTTTGTCTGTCATCATTCTAAAAACAGAATTATTTTACAGTGACAGCTGTCCAAATTTCCTTCCACCCTTAGCCTAGTTTTGTGCTTACTGCAGCCAAGCTGACAA